AATCTCATTTTCCAAAGCCACCACCCTTGCTTTCTGCTTCCTTTAATGGCCAGGCCTGTCTGCATGTTGGTTGCACTGCACAGCTGCCCTCCACCACCAAATCTCACTGCCTCTTCAGCCCATTCCAACTTGTCTGCCATCCCTTGTCCCATGGAAACCATCCTTGCTAAGATGTTGATGTTGTTCTCCTGTCCTAACAGACAGGAGAGGCCCAAAGGTCAGTGGTGGAATCTACAAAGTCTGTGCCAGCAGGAAGAAGGATCTGTGCTAGCAGGCTGGGGGATTATGCAGTTGTCAAACCTCATCCCTGGCTCTCCAAGAGCTGCTAGGTGAGAATCTTCTAACACATCCTTTAACACACTTTTCTCTACTGCTAAGAGGCAAATTCAGTGTTATCACCCAAGAACTGTGCCTCGTAGGCCCTCCTTAATACACTTTTTGGTGGACATTCACGTTCCCACACCTCTGGGTGTTCTGCTTGGCACATAAGGCTGGCAAAGTCAGGTGTAAGAAGGTAAAGGGAGCCTTTCCTACCCTCACTCAATTCCAGTCTACTTGATTCAGCCACCATTGCCATAAATGTGTTCCACATTTCCTCTAAATGCAAGGAAACTTTTTCCAGGGATAGGATATTGTTGTATAGGGAATCAAGCTCAGCAAATACATCTAAGCTACAAAAGAGAAAGAAATGCTCCTCCATCTTTTGCTCCTTACGCAGGTTCCTGGGCAGTCCTGTGAGGCTCTGCAGTAAGTAGTCTTAAGTCTGATTATTTTCACCCGCTCAGAATAAGCAGAAACTCTGTTTCATTGGGTCCTTTAGAAATCAGTTTCTTTCCCTATCCCCACCTACCTTCTCCATGGAGACTGTTTATTTGTAAATTAATTTTCCCCTCATGTATCCAGCACTTTAAACTATTCTGAGATATAATTTACATACAGCTAATCACAGTGGGTAGAGTATGATGAATTTTGATCAACACACACCCCTGAAACCATAATGGTACTCCACATACAGGATACTCCATTCTCCAACCTGTCCTCAGGACCCCTGTGGTCAAGGAATCCCTCCATCCATCCCTGGGCAACCACTGATCTGCTTTCTGTCACTAGAAATTGTACTGCATTTTCTAGAAATTTCATATAAAAGGAATCCTGTAGCATGACATATTTTTTACCTGGCAGCTTTTACCAGAAATACTTGTTATGAAAGTCATTGAGCTGTGGACATGGCTTCCCCAAAGAAAGTCAGGATTCTGTTAGGACAGGAGGGATGAACAGTGCAACCTTCCACTCCATCCACCCCAGAATGCAGGGGTTGAGAAGGCAACACCTGTCCAGAAAAGAACAGAGCTGAGTGACCAGAGAGAATTCTCCTTGGAGAACAGGAGGAAGAATGAGACATTCCCATCTTCTACAGTAACATTGTATCTTTTACATTTGGGACATTTATTTGTTTACTTGCGTGATCATTTCTTTAATGTCGGTCTCATCTCCTTTCCCCAGCACTCAGCACTGGGTCCTATGAATCTCCAGTGAATCTGAACATAGCCTGGGGTGAAGCACAGCCCAGACAGAACAATTCATTAATAATTTGTTGGATGAAAGGTGATGCCTCAGTAACAAAGTGGGCCTCCCTCTGGTCTTAGGGATGATCCTCAGTCAGGTAGATTTAGTGAGGTCCAGGCTATAAAACTATGAACAAATCTGAAAGATGGAAGAAGTATGTCTTTGTTTTATACAACTAATAATGCTATACTAAAATTTATTTGGAACCAGAACAGACTTAGAATAGCAAAGGAAATCCTGGATAACATGGGCAAGGCAGGGGCATCACAATTCCTGACTTGAAATTATACTATAAAGCTACTGTGCTAAAAAAAAAAAAAAAAAAAAAACAGCATGGCACTGGGGGAAAAAACAGATCTGAGGATCACTGGAACAGATTAGAAGATGCAGAAACAACTCCAGACATACTCAGCAACCTTATCTTTGACAAAGGTGCCAAACACATTCACTGGAACAAAGATAGCCTCTTTAATAAATGGTGCTGGAAAAACTGGCTCTGCACATGCCAAAGATTAAAACTGGACTCATAACTTTCACCATTCACTCTACTAAATTCAAAATGGATCAAAGTTCTAAATATTAAAACAGAAACATTAAATCTGCAGGAAGGTAGACTAGGTAAAACTCTTGAAGACTTTGGTGTAGGCAAAGACTATGAATACAACCCTGATCACACAGGAACTATCACAAAGAGTGAACAAGTAGATCACACCTTATTAAACTAACACTACTAATTGTTTTCTTGTTTGTTTTTTTGTACCAGGAATTGAATTTGGGACCTTGCACTTGCCACGCAGGTGCCTGTGCCACTGAGCTATATCCCCAGCTAACACTATTAATTGTAAAATCCACTACAGAGCATTGTTGATTGGATTTCTAAACTCATGCTACTAACTCACTGCTCCTTGGTACAAAATTCAGTTTTTTTTTGAATCCTTATTATTGAGATATAATTTATATGCAATAAAATAAACCTGTTCAGTGAGTTTTGACGGGCTGGGGATTTAGCTCAGTGGCACAGCACCTGCCTGGCAAGCACAAGGTCATGAGTTCAATTCCCAGTACTGGAGAAAAAAACCAAAAACAAATCAAAATCAATGAGTTTTGACAATTTTATACACCTGTGTAACACAACCACCATCAAGATATAGAACATTCCCATTGCCCAGGAAATTTTCTGGTGCCCCTTAGCAAGCAATCCCCCAACTCTGGTGCAAAGCTGATCTGTTTCCTACCACTACAGATTAACGTTGCAGCTGGGTGTGGTGGTGCATGGCTGCAATCCCAGCACTTGGGAGCCTGAGGCAGGAGGATTGCAGCAAGTTCAAGGCCTGTCTACGTAGTGAGACCCTGTCTGGAAAAAAAAGAACAAAAAACAGGGCTACATACTGAGACCCTGTCTGAAAAAAAAGAAAACAAAAGATAAATGTATCTGGCTTCTTTCACTCAGTGTAATGTTTTTGAGATTCATACATGTTATTACATATACCAATAGTTTATTGTGGAGTAGCATTCCTATGTTTGGATACCAGTTTTTTCATCCATAAACTTATTAATAAGCTCTTCCTACTTTTTGACTATTATCAATAAAGCTCCTCTAACATTCACGTACAGGTTCAGTGTAGGCATATGTTTTCATTTCTCTCCAGCAAACTCTTTGAAGCAGAATGGCTAGGTCATATGGTCAGTGTATGCTTATGCTTAACATTTTTGTTTATTTAGGGAAAATATTTTATTAACACATTAATGGACTTCATTTCCATGCATGCATATAGCATGAACATGGTCTAATTCAACCATAGTTTGCCACCCTCCTTCCCCAAGCTTAACACTGAAGTTATCAGAAAAAAAAAAAGGACACAGTTACATGTGAATTTCAGATAAACAATGAATACTTTTCTGGTCTAAATATGTCCCGAATATTGTATTTAAATTACCCCAAACATTTTTCTTTGTTTATCAAAATTCACATTTAACTGGCCATCCTATATTTTTTCTGGCAACCCTATTTCAATTACTCCAAGAAAATCACCAAACTTGATTATACTTGCCCCATCCTATTTATTTAATATATAAAGGTTTGTAATAATTTAAAACAATACAGACAAGTACATAAGTAAATGTGAATGCTCTTGTGATAGTTGCACAACTCTGTGAACAAACTAAAACTCATTTCATCGAACACTTCAAGAGGGTGAATTGTACGGTACATGAAATGTATCTCAACATAGCTGGGTTTCTTCTTTAAAGTGAGCACACTGCCTAAGACATGGCCTTCCTGGCTCTCAGCACACCTGAGCTGTCTAGCTCAAGACCACCCTGAACACAGGATGTGAGGGAAGTGGGTGTCCTTTTTCCTAGAAGGCTTAGAAACAGCTTCACCCATTAACCAAGACCGTCTGCAAGAAGCAGGGCCCATAAAGCATGTTCCTGCTTTCAAAGAATGTGCTATTCAGCTGAGAGCATAGAGGAAAGTCACAGAGTGTATAATTAAGGATCAAAAGGAACATCCCAGACAATAAGCTCTTGAGCCGCTTGAAGTTGACAGATCACTGGTGCCTGGTGCACCAGGGGAGGCTTCCTGGCAGATGTGAGCTTTGAGGCAGCAATGAGCAAGAAGGATTTCACTAAGAGAAATGGGAAGGGTTTTCTTTCCACTCAGAGAGGCTGGTGTGAGCAAAGATGTGAGGGCAGGAAAAAGTACGGCATATTTGGAGACAAGGAAGAGGTAGAAAAGCCTTAGCGGCAGCCTGTCCATGCAGGGAACAGGGGCAAGAGGTAGGTGGTGGCCGGTGACGAAGTTTGTCCTGACATGCGACCTTGCTAGGTAAGGCAACCATGCCAGGGGCTCCCTTAGGGGGAGCCATGGCAGGGGCTTAAGCACGCCAGTGGTTTCTTAAGTTTGTCAGAAGTGTGCAGGGTGGATTGCGGGGAAGAGAGGGAGCTGTAACAATGCAATGATATCACAAAGCAAGTGAAATGAAGACCCAGACCCCTGTGCAGGAAGAAAGAATGGAAGAAGACCAGAAGAGGTGGCACTGTCCATGGAGCTGAGGGCGAGGGAGGAGTCTGAGAACACTTTAGCCTTCCAGCCAGAGCGACTGGGGATGGCCCTTACCCTGCTTTGATCATTCTGCAGTGCGTAAACCTATCAAAATACCACATTGTGCCCCATAAATGCGTACAGTGACATGTCACTCAAAAATAACACTAAAAAGTGTGCTCCCTTCATGCCCTTTCTTCCCTCGCTTCGAACCTTTGGCCCCGAGGTGATCCCTGCTAGGGTGACCCTTCTCTCTCACGCACAGGCTGCACATTGGCCAACCACCTGCGCGCCCGGCTCCGGCCCTCTTGGGTGCGGGGTGAAGCTGGAACTACATTTCCCAGAATCCCCTTCTCCTCGTGGGCCTGCGTCGCTCCCGTCAGCCCCGGGCAGAGCCTGGGCGGGATTTTCTCCTGGGAGCAGTGTCACCAGACAGGTAGGACCCCGCGGGGCTCAAAGCAGCCCTGCAGGGCTTCTGGGCAGCTCTCAGTTGGGCCCCTCAAGCCAAAATCACTAGCGGCAGTGACCTCCTGCCCTGAAACCTACATCTGCAGCAAGGACACTTCTTGTTTCCCGACCAGATCCTCGACAGAGCTCTCCCTCCGGCTTTGTAAGGCTGCCTGACCGCGTCAGAATTTAGTATCTCCTTTAGCGGGAGACCTTGGGGATTTTCTAGAAGTTTCCTATCATAAGGTCAGGTGGCCCTTCCGAACCCCACACGTACACCCTCGCGCAGTTCTTTCTTCACCAACCTCATCACGCACATGACTGCTGATTTGTGCTTTTTGTGTTTTTAAGGAACCTTCCATCACGCCACCAGTCTGTCACACTGTTAGGTTCCTGTGACCCCCAGGAAGAGGAGGGGGAGGGGACTCTGGAGGCTGCGGTGACCCTTTAGTTTTCACCAGATGCAGTTCACAAATGTAATCCCGTTATAACAAGAGGGTCCCTTTGAAGCTTCTCATTTAAAAACAAATTTCTATGGAAGCTTCACTTGCCTTCCGAACTTTCTTGGCCACCTGGGGTGGTGGGACCCTCCCTCCTCGTTAATGCTGCCTAGTAAACTCTGTTCCACTGTAACAGTTCACAAGAACTGGCAAAACCAAAATCAAAAAACAGAAAGACCTTGATGTCTCTAATTTTCTTTTTCCTTTCACCATTGTCTGAGGGTTGCTGTGACCCAAAAGAGAGAAGATTCTGCCAAAACCTTCCAACTGCATCCTCAGAGGGACGAGATCCAGCCCCTAGACTGCCTGGCGTCAGCGCCTTTGTCTTTCCTCCCTGGAGTTGGTGGTTTTGCCATTCCCATGCTGCGTTTATCCAAGCATTGTGATACCGTCATTCTGAAGCCATGCATTTGCACTTTCAGAAGTATGTAAATGCCGGGCTCAGACCTGTAATCCCAGCACTCGAGGCTGAGGCAGGAGGGTTGACAGGAGGTTCATTGCAAATTCGAGACCAGCCTGGGCTACAACGTAAGCTCAAGGTTAGCCTGAACTGCATAGCTAGACCCTGTCTCAAAAAGACAAAAAAAAAAAAAAGTGAGTGTGAGTGTTTCTTTTCTGCTTCTCATACTCTATTGAATCATCAGTCAGTCTCCCTGCTCCCCCCCCTCCTCCTCTAAGCCTCTCCGGGCTAACATTTTTTTAAACCCTGGAGCACAACCCCAACACCATCCAGGTTCCCAGTTAAGGCCCAAGCTATATGCCCTTCAGTCCTTATCTTGTTGCTGATAAAATAGTCTTTTCTTGACCTTGCAGAAAAATTATTTTTCCAATTTGTTTTTTCTCTTCTGCCTTTATATCTCCAGTGGGTCCTGGCCAAATGCCACCAACTGCATTTTTCCAGCTCCTGCAACAGAAGCTCTTTTTTTCCCTCCTTTCACCCTTCCTGACAGGATCCCCAGCCCTTCTCCAAAAACACTCCCAACTCCACTAGAAGTTTCTAGTGAAACTTCTAGGCTACTTTGGAATACTGTCTCTCAAGGCACAACATTTTTTGATGTTTTATAAACAAAATTCTCTTGTAAACTGCATGAACAAGTAATGTTTGTAAAATAGAAAACTTGCCATAACTTTCTTCATTATTTCAAGGGCTTTAAAAACACTACATTGTTGACATTCATAAATATGTTTGTTATAAAAGCTCATTTGTTTGTTTTGTGGTTTTTTTTGGGTTTTTTTTTTTTTTTTTTTTTTTTGGTTTTTTGGTTTTTCTCCGGTACCGGGAACCGAACTCACGACCTTGCGCTCACCAGGCAGGCGCTTTGCCACTGAGCTAAATCCCCAGCCCCTTGTTTCTTTTTTTTTTTTAAGGCTCAGTTTTATCAGAACAAACCTATAGTCCCAAAGGGGAATGGTATAAAAGTTATAGGCTCTACCTTGTCATTATTTGGTTTTCCAAAACTTAATTTTTTGTTTTTACTGCCACATGCATTAGCTATTCTTTATTTTTTGAAAGTAGCACTTTATCTCTGCATAGATTCCTAATTCTCTTTTACTCATGGGTCTTAGAAAAGAGGAACTCAAAAAGAAAATTACTCATCTTGAACTAAAATTTCTAAGTAAATTACTAATGCTTGAGGCAGAGGAAAAACCAGTTAGCCTACTGCCACTACCTAATTAAAAAGGTGAAATCAATGTTCATGTGTTTGCTACTTTGATTATTTTGATCAATTATACTTGTGGAATTCAGTGATGTCTCAGGCTATAATAATAAATATGTATACATAATATATATGTGTACATGTAGAATTTTTAAAAGAACAGTTTCTCTAATTCTCTAGATCCCACGATAGCCAACACCTTTCTGGGCAGACCTATGAGACCAGGATCAAGTTTCTCCCTCAGCGTGTCCTAGAGGGTGGCACATCTAACACTGCGATGCATGAGGTGACTTTGGAAAATACCTGAACAGTTTTTTATGTTGGTAGTTAAATATTCACTTTGTGATGTACTAGAAGAAGCATAACTAGCATATCAAACTCCTGATTTCATGAGTATTGTTGCTTAGACAAGATTTAAAGCACAGCTAATGGATGCAAAAGCAAATATTAAGTAAAAATTATTGTGAGTGCTACACAATGTAACAAAACTATTAATATGGTATATAAATGACAGGTCGACATGCTGCCTGGAGCACTGTGGCACTTCATCAGAGTTGCGTAATGTGGTGCCCTGATTCTCATGCACCCTTTTTCCTGTCCTGTGTCAAATCACCAGCCGTGGACATAGCAAGTTAACTTGGTGGCTGGCTTTCTCTGCTCCACTTTTCTCTGCTGAGCAGCGGTTAGGAAGAACTCACTTGTTAGACTTGTTGTGCTGCATTTAGATATCAGAAAAGACTGGGCATCTACCTGTCTCGTGGCAAATACATTGATTTAGATTTCTTTTGCTTTTGAGAAAGGGGAGAGGATAGCAGTGATGTCTCCTCCAGAGTCCTGGGCAGCTGACTTGATGTCACAGGACCTGCAGCCCTGGAGGCCTTTCAGCTCGGTCCCCTGCACAGCAAATCTCATGACTCCATGAGACTCTCCCGGTCACTCTTGTGCCAGAATTCTGGTGTCAGTAATATTGCTTAAGTGAGTAAGAACTGAACCATCTTTTTTATGGTATAGGGACTTAACTGGAAAATCATGCTTGATCTTGCAAGATTTGGTTTAATCAAATTAAATGAGGCATTTCTTGATTGATTTATATTTTTTCCTAAAAGGGTATGAGATGACTTTCAAAACTACATATAAGATTTTAGACTAGTGGGTGAGAAGACAGGAGCAAAAGGAAAATGAGAAGACAAAATAGCACTAAAAATAGTGTCTGTACCTGAAGGGTATGGTGCACAGGCTCTGTGTTTGCTGGAAGAGTTGCCTCTCAGATTGTTTTTCTTAATTTTTATTTTTTATTAGTACATGTTTGTAGTACATAATGACCACCATCCTTGTGGGGCATTGGTACATGTGCATAATGCAATTTAATTCTTTCCTCAACACCTTCCCTTCCCTTCTCTCCCTCCTCTTTCCATCTCGTGGTCCTTTCACCATTTCCAAAGGATCTGTCTCCCTACTTCTCATTATCTATCATTTATTTTGTTCTTTGTCTATATCTTGGGTTTCTCATATAAGAGAAACCATGTGATATTTATACTTGTATATCTGATTTATTTCACTTAACCACTTTCCTACAAACAACTCATTTATTCTTTATGACAGAATACTATTCTATTGTGTCTAGATACCACTTTTTCTTTACCCATTTATCTGTTGATGGACATAAAGGCCTCTTCCATTATTTAACTGTTATGAATTATGCTGCCATAAATGTGAGGATGCATATATCACTGTAACATGATGTCTTTAACTCTTTTGGAAAGATACCTAAAAAGGGAACAGCTGGGTCAAATGGAATTTCTGGTTTTAGTTTTTTGAGGAATCTCCATACTGATCTCCATAATATAGTTAACTTAGTTTTTCTAGTTTACATTCCCACCAACAATGTAAAAGGGTTCCTTTATTCCCACAGCCTTGCCAGCATTTATTATTTGATGTCTTGATGATAACCATTCTCTCCAGAGTATAATGGAATCTCAGTGTTGTTTTAATTTGCATTTCTGTAATGGCCAGAAACGTTGAACATTCATTTATGTTTGTTTATTTATTTATTTATTTATTTTTAAGAAATGTGTGTTCATTGTAGTTGCCTGTTTTTGATTGGGTCTTTTTTTGGAGGAGGGTAGTTATTTATATACTGTATTCTAGATATTAATCCTCTGAGAAATCATTGACAAAATATTTTTCCCATTGTGCAAGTTGTCTCTTTACTCTGTTGATTGTTTCCTTTGCTCTGCAGAAAGTTTAATTTTATATGATCCCATTTGTTGATTCTTGTTATTATTTCTTTTTTTTTTCTTTCTTTTCTTTTTTTTTTTTTTTTTTTCTTTTTTTTTGTACCAAGAATCAAATTCAAGAGCTTGTGTTTTCCAGGCAGGTGCTTGTGCCACTGAACTGTATCTCTGGCCCTTTGTTATTATTTCTTGTGACATTAAGGTTCTGTTCAGAAAATCCTTGCCTATACCTATATCTTCAAAGAGTTTTACCTATTTTATTTTCTAGCAGATTAAGTGTCTCTGCTTTAACATTTAGATCTTTGATCCATTTTTATTTCAGTTTAGTGCATGGTGAGAGATACCAGTCTACAGTCAGTCTTCTGAGGTTGCTTCGTATGTCTGGAGTTGTTTCTGCATCTTCTAATCTGTTCCATTGATCCTCAGGTCTGTGTGGTTTTTTGTTTTGTTTTGTTTTTGCCAGTACCATGCTGTTTTTATCACAGTAACTTCATAATATAATTTCAAGTCAGGGATTGTGATGCCCCCTACCTTGCCTTTGTTGCCCAGAATTGCTTTTGCTATTCTAGGTCTCTTCTGGTTCCAAATGAATTTTAGGATTGTTTTCTCTAATTCTATGAGATAGTCTATTGGAATTTTGATTGGAATTGCATTAAATCTGTATATAACAGTTTTGGAAGTATGGCCACTTTCACTCTGTTGGTTCTTCCTACCCAAGAGCAAGGGATATCTTTCCATTTTCTGGTATCCACTTCAATCTCCCTTTTTAGAGTACTGTAGTTTTTAATGTAGAGGTCTTTTACATCCTTTGTTAGTTTGATTACTAGGTATTTCATTTTTTTTATGCAACTATGAAAAGTGTTGTTTCCTTAATTTCTCTCTCAGTGAGTTTGTTTTTCATGTACAGGAAGACTATTAATTTTTGAATGTTGACTTTGTATCCAGCTATGCAACTGAATTTCCATATTAAATCTAGCAGTTTTTTAGTGGAGTTTTGGGGGTCTTCTAAGTAGAGTATAATGTCATCTGTGAATAATGATAATTTAGGGCTGGGGATTTAACTCAGCGGCAAAGCGCCTGCCTGGCAAGCGCAAGGTTGTGAGTTCGATTCCTGGTACCAGAAGAAAAACAAAAAACAAAACAAACAAAAGATAATCTAACTTCTTTCTTTCCAGTCATTATTCCTTTTATTTCTTTTTTCTCATTGCTCTGGCTAAAGTAGGCTAAAGGACTATGTTGAATAAGAGTGGACACAGTGGACATCCTTGTCTTGTTCCTGATTTTAGAGAGAAAACTTTTAGTTTTTGTCCATTTAGTATGATGTTGGCTGTTGGTTTGTCATAGATGGCTTTTATCAGATTGAGATAAAGACCATCAATTCCAATTTTCTGTAGGACTTTTATCATGAATGGGTGCTGGTCTTTTTCAAAAACTTTTTCTGTATCTATTGAGATGACCATATGATTTTTGTTCTTGCCTCTGTTAATATGGTGTTTGCCAGGTATAGTGGTACACACCTGTAATCCCAGCACTCAGAAAGCTGAGGCAGGAGGATTGCCACAAATTTGAGGCTAACCAGTGCTACATAGTGAGTTCAGAGGCAACCTGAACTATACATCAAGACCCTGTCTCTAAAAACAAACAAAAAAAAAATTGTGTATTACACTTACTGATTTACATACATTGAACTATCCCTGCATCCCTGGGATGACTACCACTTGATCATGGTATATAATCTTGAAGATCTGCTGTACTTTGTTTGCCAGTATCTTATTGAGGATTTTTGCATCTGTACTCATTAGGAAGATTGGCTTGTAATTCTCTTTCTTAGTTAGGTCCTTCTCCAGTTTTTGTATCAGGGTAATGCTTCCAGGAATGAATGTGGAAGTATTGCTTCCCTTTCAATTTCATTAAAGAGTTTGATAAGTAGTGGTGTTAGGTCTTTTCTCAATTTCTTATAGAATTCATCAGTGAATCCATCAGGATCTGGCTTTTGTTTGTTTTTGGGTTTTTTTGTTTGTTTGGTTTTTTATTTTTCTTTTTTTTCCAGTACCAGGAATTGAGCTTATAACCTCACACTTGCCAGGCAGGCGCTGTGCCACTGAGCTAAATCCCCAGCCCCTGTTTTGTTTGTTAGTAGGCTTTTAATTACATCTTTGATTTCATTGATATTGGTATATTTAGGATTTTTATATCTTCTTGATTCAGCTTTGGCAATCCATATGTATCTAGGAATCTGTCCATTTCTTCTGCATTTTCCATCTTATTAGAATAAAAGTTTTCAATGTAGGTGTAGATGGTTTTCTGGATTTCTGCAGGGTCTGTTGTGATTTCACCCTTTTCATCCTTAATTGTATGGATTTGAGTATTTTCTTTCCTTTTTTTGATAAGGTTGGATAAGGGTTTGTTGATTTTATTTAATCTTCCAACTCTTCCATTCTTTGATTCTTTGTATTTTTTTTTTTAGTCTCCAATGTATTAATTTCTGCTCTGAGCCTTATAATTTCCACCCCTCATATGAACTTTTGGCTTAGCCTGCTGTTCTTTTTCTAGAAGTTTGCAGTTCACCATTAAGTTGTTTATTTGTACTTGCTGTGTTTTCCTAATGTGGGTATTCACTACTATATTCCCTGTTAGGACTGCTTTCATTGTGTCCCATAAGTTCTGGTATGTTGTATTGTCATTATTATTTAATTGCAGAAACCGTCTCATTTCTTCTTTAATTTCATCTGTGACCTACTGGTTGTTCAAGAGGGTGCTATTTGATTTCCATGTGTTTATAAAGTTCTTGTGGTTTCTTTTGACATTGATTTCCAATTTCATTACACTATGGTCTGAAAATATGCATGGAATAATTTCAGTTCCTTTGCAGTTATTTAAGTATGTTCTATGAGCTAGTATGTGGTCTATTTTGGAGAACATCCTGTGTGCAGCTGAGAAGAATTGTGGGGTGGAACACTCTGTAGACATCTACTAAGTCAATTTGTTCACAAGTTTAATTCAGTTCTAATATTTCATTGTTGACTTTTTTTGTCTAGTTGATCTCTTTTTG